TTATTTTCTCAATATTCTTAGTATAACAAACCATAATTTGCCTAATTAAAGACCCCTGTTTGTAAACAGTGTGAAGAAACAAGCCAATTGTACCATTTCAACCTAGATACATAATAAGTATAAATAGTCAATTTAAATTATAATTAGAAATTTTAACTTAATATTTAAACATTTTTAAAAATGGAATAAATTATTCTAAAGATATTACATTAAAAAGTGTAGCTGCAATAGGTCCATAGTGTCCATTTAATTTCTCTTTGGTTGGAATCACTGCCTCTCTGACCAAAAACAGTGCTGGTATTAATACACTAGTGTGCACTTCTGAATGTTGATATCATGTGGAAGTGCTGAGCATGGGATGGTTAACGATAACATTTTCTTAAAAGAGAAGTGGCTAAAGAGAACTAAACATGGCCACTCGTGGAGCAAGATCAAACCTGGAGATGCACTAAAAAGGTTACAAACATGTCAATGGATTACAAAATAATACCCAAAGAGACTATATTACATGCAATCTTTTATTTTCAATAACAATAAAAAATATCACAGTGTTTTCCTGGAAATTCTGCTCCTTTTAAATGCCTCTGAAGTCTTGGCCCTCCAGGTTTGCCCTTCATTCCTTTGTACTGAGCATCTTGTCTTTTTATTTGAATAATTTTTATTGCTTTACGTAATGTTAATAATATGTTTGAAATTGAAAGTATCAGCATAATACATCTGAACTGTCTTATGCTTTTATTACATGTTCAATGAAACTATTGTAAATATAGTCTATTCTGAAAGAGGGCATGTGACTCACACAACAGTCATTGGCACACCTTGCACTAAATACATCACCATAAAGGATACATCAGAAAAATCAGCAATATTTTATCATTTCTAAATAATTAGAAACACAGGACGTGCTGGGTGTGCCTAGACAAACCCTAATGCATACTCTAATGCAGGTGGGTTGCTTATTTCTGTTGGGTTCCCCAGCTACAGCACAAGCCGGCAGGGAGATCAAAAGATCCCATGAGGGAACTTGAGTCTGCACCTCAGGTGGGTGCAGATCACTTTAAATATTCCCTCCCGGTATTACACCGGACGGTGCATTTACATGGTCTGCACC